ACCCCCCTCCCCCTACCCCCCTCAGGGTCCTTATGAATACTCATGCTGCCTAACTCGCTTCTTGTGCTGATCGCAGAACACAAGTGTCAGTAATGTAGGGGGTTTAGGGGTTTACGGTTTAGGGCGGCTTAAAAATAAGAAGGGTTTTGGGAAATATTATACTATAAATATAGTAAGGGGCTCCCAAAACAGTGCAGGTAATTGTTGAGGCCCCTATAGTAGAAACACCACCCAAGGATTCCCGGCGACACAACCCTGTCCGACGTCAATATCATCCCCAGGACACCGGACACGAACATCAACAAAGATCTCCACCACCATCATGGTCGCCAGAGCGCTCACTATCGCCACCGCTATCATTATCACGCATCACGGTAAAGATCAGCATCACTACCCCCACCATTTTAACCACCACCACCACCACCACCACCACTACCACCACATCCACAATGGTGCATGACACAACCCGTACCCACAGCCAACATCACCTCTTCTACAGAAACTGCCCTGAAACCAAAAAAGCCTGAACCCCGAATGCGCGAGGCTCTCCAGTCCCAAACCCAAAAACTACGGCTGTGGATATCAACCCTGCATTACCGTAATGACCCTAGACTGTGGGAACTATGGCTCATTCCTTATTATGGGAATGGAGGATTTATGTCATCAACCGTAGGATTAGGGCTTAGATACCCACCGCCAAAAAACATTGCACCCTAAACGGCCCTAAACCCAAGATGAACCCGATGTAAACCTTTAACTCAAAATCAACCCTAAGCCCTCATCATCAACCCTAAGCCCTAAAAGGAATCTCTGGGTCCCGTGCGTGCACAGGCCATGAGCTGCCGCATCTTCGGTCCGCGTTTGGCCGCTGCGGAAGGCGCCTTCGCATAAAGGATCAAGGGACTCAGTAAGTACGGTTTAATGTAAGTAAGGTCCCTAGAGAGTTCTACAAGGGGTCTAATATGGGGATCAAGGGACCCAGCAAGTAGGGTTAATAGGGCTCTTTAAAGGATCCTTTCTGGGTTTAGGGTTCTTTGGGTTCTTTGGGGAGAGTACTTACAGGGGTCGTGGGACATAGTAAGTAAGGTCCCTATAGAGTTCTACAGGGGGTCTTAATAATTAGAATAGGGCTTTTGGGCCCATTAATACTGTAACTATAATAAGAGAACCGTAGCATCGGTAATTATTTAAGCCCCTATCCTACACCCCAGAATACCCGTTATAGTAACCCTAATAGGACCCTGTTTAAGGAACCGTTTAAAGGAACCCTGTTCTAATTATTTAGGCCGCTACACCCCTATAGTAGAACGGCTTCAAACGCCTGTCCTAAACCCTAAACCCTATGATTGAGGGTGTAGGGTAACTCTTTGTTTTTTTCTTGGGAGGTGCCTTGAATAACCCGCCGCTGCTGAAATCGCACGTGGCTTGTTCTAGAAACGTGCGTTTCATCCAGAGGGTGTGTTCAATGTAGGCACCTAACCCTGGGCCTACAACCCCAAAACCCATACAAAGGAACCCTAATTCAGGCCGAAGGTCTCTTAATCAAGTTCCTACATTAAGGGGGCACGGTGTTCCGTTTTGCCAGAAGCCTAAACCCTAAACCGTGGCTACGCTAAACCCAAACTTTGTGTTTGAATATTTCGGGGGTTGCCAGCTTTCTTAGCAAAAGCTAGAGACTCCAACATCCCTTAATTACGGAATATTCCTTAAATCATACGAGGGATCCTTACCATATAATTTCAGGGCGATCCCTAAATTAAGTGATAGTTCTGGCCAGCGATCCGTGGGGCTCTGTCTGCGACGGCGGATTGGGAGTTTACGTCAAGGGGAAAAGGAGGGACCCTTAATGGGGACCCCTACCCTATAATGGCTATATTATGGGTATATACATAGGGGTCCTTATTAAGGGTCCCTCCTTTTACCCTTGGAGAGTTTACAGTAATACAAGAGCCGTTATAATTAGAATAGGGTTTGGGGGCCCATCATACTATAATTATACTAAGGAACCCCACCCAAAACAGTATAGGTAATCATTATCAAGTATTACTAATAAGGAACCCTCACCCAAAAAAGTATAGGCAATTACTATTAAGGCCTCTATATCATGCAGTGTTGAGGTTTTTGGGCGTGAGTAGACAAGGGGTTAGGGTTGAGGACTTGGGCTGCATAGTTTGGGTTAGGGCTGAGGATGGTTCGGCTTGCAGAGGGGTTAAGGCTGGGGTTTAAGGTTTAGGGTTTATGTAGGGGATTTGCTGGCGGTCAAGCCCAGATGTAATCACCCCCCGCATCCAACCACACCTGCCCCCTGCCTCCCCCACCCACACACACACACACGCAACACCACAAAACACCGATGCAGCGCAAGAAACGACATGCAGTTATGCACTCGCTAGCTGGACTCAGATGCTAGATACTTCATCAGAAACATGCTCGCAAGACGTGAGCTGATTGAAATGAAAGTGGACGGCCGGTGGGTGTAAGGACTTATCACTCTCCACCCCAGCTGCCCAAGCGTCTAAACAAATGCAGCCGCCTTGAAGATGGGGTTTGAGAGGTGTCATTTTCTATAATATAAGAAGACAGTATTAGGAAATGTCTAGGCTTACTTCTGTATTGGGACCCAGGGCTTGGGGTTGACGATGCGCAATTCCCCAAACCCTAAACCCCGAAACCCAAACCCCTAAACCCCTAAACCCTAAACGCCGAAACCCTAAACCCTAGATTATAGCTCGTCTCATCACCCGATGCCACCTTGCACACGACGCCTGCACACTCCAAGGACCTCAAAGGCCTGAAGCCCAAAAACTGCAAGACAATCAAACAACAAGCACTCATTTGTACTTTCAAACAGCTAACAAGAATATCTAGTAATATTTAGGCATATTCGCTAAAGTTGAAAACTCTGAATAATGAAAAAATGAATGATCATACGATCATACTTGATAGTTTTAAACAATACTTAATAACGTTTCATACTATTTCGGAAGATCTAGTCATATATGATAATACTTAGTAACATCTCATGATGTTCCACAATAGTATAATAGCATTTGATGATAGGTACTTCAAAGTAACAACAGCTAATAATCAGTACCCGTAAACCCAAACCCTCAGGCCCTTTTGCCGGTGCCCGAGCACCGAGAGAAACCCCTGACACAACGAACCTTCTCAACTGTGCACAAGCAAGCCCTTAACTACCCCAACCTTAAACCTCAAACTCTAAACCCTAAGGCCCTGAACCCCCAAACTTCAAACCCCTGCATCCATAGAGTTCAAGCTCGAATGTATCGCAAAACTCGCACAAACCGTTCGCGAAACCAATCTGAAACCGCTTTCATGTGCCAATCTGAAAGCGCTTTCATGTGCCCCAAAACCTAAAGCCCCAACCCAGAACCCTAAAGCCCTCCCAAAAACCCTAAGGCCCTCCAGCCCTAAACCCTAAAACACTTTAAGGCCCTTAAGCTTCGTCTCTCTACCTCGGTTCCCCGAGTGCCGAGTGCCTGCTTGGCGAAGGGCGGCCGCGCCACAGCGCAGCAACTGGCGCAGCTCGCCAAGGCTCCTTGCGAGATGCTGCTTCGAGGAGTAGTAGGCATATACTTGAGGTAGCGAAACTTATAATTGCTCGTAACCCTGATTAAGGTACCTAATTTATGGAGTCTTATGATCCTGCAAGCGTGTACGAGCTTTTTAGCTTTGGAGTTTGAAGGTTCAGATGCTGGCACGTGGATTTAGGGCTGCTCTGTTGGTTCCTTTAAGGTTATAGTCTGTGCATACTTAGGAGAAGAAGGAGAAGTAACTATGGTTATTCACTTATAATAACACTATGACCCTCTACCTTGATCAAGTTTTCACAAGTGGTGCACAAGCGTTTCATAAGGTTGTATCAAGGTACTAGTATGATCTATTATGCCTGAAAGACATGTGTTTTTAGGGCTGTGGGGATCTTCAACATCCAAAGCTTACGACTTTGAGGGTGCTTTTGTTGACCCCTCGTTTCCATCTGCCGGCGTAACAATTAGTCGGGATGCCTGTTCAGGCAGAGGCTTTGAACTTCAAGGGTTCAGGGCTCAGGGTTTGGTGGGGTTTAAGTTTTGGTCTGCAATTCCTGCGACAATCGACTTGCCTCAAACCAGAAGCCCGAACCAACAAACCCGACATCCTCACTTCAATTCCTGTCCGTGGGTTGCAGAAGTCAGCCGGGTTCAGGCTTTGGGGTTTATGCAGCTAATAAACGGATCAAAACCGCCACATGCGCCTAAGCGCGCTTTCGGTTTCGGAATCAGCGTGAGGTTTCGTGAGCCAAAGTCTCCTTATCCAAAACCCGCAACACTCAACCAAATCCCAAACCGGAGGCTATGTCATTGGTTTACGCATGTTCGTAGATCCTTCGAATCAGCGTAAACATCTTGGGCCGCTGGGGTTCAAGGGCTCGGGGCCATTACTAACTGGGCTTAGGGCTTAAGGAGGAGAAAGAGGAGGAGGAGGTGCAGCTGTAGCAGAAACATCATTCTTGCTAGACTTGTGATTGCTCGCATTCCCACCATGGCACCCTCATTGCACTTATAGTCTGCCCTAACGGTATCTCCGCCCCGATGTCAGTGGAGGCCTCACTTCTCTCTCCGGCACGCCCTCCATGACGAATCCTGCACTCAACACTGATGGTTCAGAGGGGCTGTCGGAACGTACCAGATGGAGGGGTTGGGGTTCGGGTTCCTCTGACGTGGGTTTGGCATTCCAGGTTCCAGTGTGCAGGCTTTGGATTTCATGCATACGGCTGAACGTGCTCAGGGTTTACGGTATCCGCTTTGAGCACTTTAGGCTACAAGGAAAAATTCCGCTCCGTAGATGCGCCCTCGGCTTGCAGCGGCAAGATACCCATACTTTAGAGGATAAGAAACCCAGCTAAAGAACAAAAAACGCCTGTAAGAAAAACTGTAACGCCTTTTTAAGCACTACAACCGGATACGGAAACACCGTCGAAAATACAAGCCAACCTGATCTACTAGACTAAACCAGAAAATGGACAAGCATGAAATAGCGAAACGTCGAGGCTCCTTTGTTCGGCACCAGTGGCACGACGTGACCGTAAACGCCCACAGAAAAGCGGTGACCTTTGGCATCGCCGTGCAGCTTCAAGAAGTAGCTGGGAATCCGGAGCAGCAGCGACTCCCAGGATTTGGGCTTGCTCAGCTGCACCATGCCACCCTCGTCCACGAACGGGTGCCCAGCGATCTTGTACAGATTCAGTTTTGAGATGGCGGTACAGGGCCCGAGTGTTCGCTCACGCGCGTCGCGGTCCAATGACGAACTCCAATGCATCAACTCTGCCATGCCGCTCCTCGCCGACAGGACATGGCCTAGGATTGTTGCAGCACTTTGCCTTGCACGTAATCGCTAAGGGTTTAGGGTTTAGGTTTTAGACCGGGTGTGTGGTTAATATGTTGAAAACTCCCGTCAACGGAACAAAATGCCACTCTTCTTATGTTTCGTAGTGGATGTGACTAGTGTTTAAGGTTTACATTGCAGACTGTACGAAAATAGAAGGGGTTTAAGGTTCAAAGCTTAAGGTTCAAGAAGACTCGTGCGTGAAGTTAATCACATACATAGAAAAAATCGCGCTTGTTGAAAAAATTGAGTGTCCTATGTTTTCGAGGGAAACTAGGGCTTAGGGTAGTGTTTAAGGTTTAAAGTTTGGACTGCACGAAATCGAAAAGGGTTTAGGGTTCAAGGCTCAGGGTCGAGACGCGGGGAGTTAAGAGCGCATGCTGAAACATAAGTTGACTGTCCTATGTTCACGTGGGAAACTACCGGGGCTCATCAACGCCAAAAACAAGTTCAAAATGGAAACCCTGTCAAAACTTTTGGTCAAAACGCTTCGATCCAAACTTTCGGTCGAAACTTATCCAAACCCTTCACAATTTCTATGAACCCTAACCCCTCAACCCTACACCCAAAACCATTGCCGAAGCCACCCCAAACCCTGAACCCCTTATAGAACTCTTAAAGGAAGCCTAAAAAGGAACCCTACTTATAAGTCCTTAAACCCTAAACCCTAAAACCCTAAACCCTTAACCCTAAAACACTAAAACCCTAAACTCTAAACCCTATTAATACACCCTAGAACCCTAAACCCTATAAACCTTAAAGCCCTAAACCCCTAACCCAAGCCCCGTAAAATCAAAACCCCTACCGTAGCCAGTAAACCCTAAACCCTATAGATCCCTTAAGGGAACCATTATAGTACCCTTTACAGGAACCCTAGGAACCCTACTTATAAGTAGCCAGTTCCTCCCGTCCTCCCCCGAGCAAGGCTTCCCTGGTCTTCAAGGAAGCGTCCTCTGCGGATCGCTTTGGGACGAGGTATTTTTTGGGGGGGTTCCTTTAAGGGGATCCTTTAAGGGTTCCTTAGAGGGATCTATAAGGTTTCTATAATTTACGGTTTCGGGGTTTAGGAGTTAGGGGTTTTGAGGTTTAGGGGTTTTAGGGGTTTTAGGTGTTTAGGGGTTGAGGGTTTTAGGCGTTTTACGGGTTTAGGGGTTTAGGGTTTTGCACTGGTTTCGAGATTTAGGTTTTAGGATTGAGGGTTTCGGGAGCCTTTTTGCTGAAACAGGAACAAGAACCGGCAAAAGGTGTGTTTTGCTTAGGGAGTGTTGCGGTTTTGGAGCCCTGTTGAATGCGTCTGGCGTTTGAGGTTTATGGGTTGACGCTTAGGGTCCGGGTTTCAGGAATTGCGCTTTAGTGCTTAGGGTTTAGGATTTGGGCTTGAGCTGTCGGGATGGGCATCTAGGGTTTCATACGTGGGACGTTAATTGAACTCTAAGTTTAAATCGTTGAACCTGGGACGTGAAGCGCAGGTGTTGACTTGCTGTATGGCTTAATGCTTGGGAGAAGTTCTTGGGATGTATGACAAGAGAGGTTCAAATAAGGAACCCTAGCTAACTACCCAGAGACTCCAATATCCCTTAATTAAGGAATATACCTTAAATTATAATAGGGATCCTATTATAATTTAAGGTATAGTCCTTAATTAAGGGATATTGGAGTCTCTGGGTATTTAGGCCCCATATTAGGTTGATTTTTCTGGGAACCCGACAACCCTGAGCCTAACAACCCTTCAATCCCTTACACGGCCACTAGAAAACCAGATAACGCCCCTGGCTTGGAATACGAGGTTTGGACCCGAGCTGATAAAGGTGGGCAACAATACATCCAATATACCAGAGCGACCACCACTAGCAGTCTTACCGGCACCACCACCACCACCAAAAACCAACGCCGCCGCCGCCGCCGCCACCATCGCCATCATCGTCACCAGCACCGTCACCGTCACTGCCACCGTCATGACGACCATCATCACGGCATCAGCATCACCATCACCATCATCATCACCACCTTCATCACACTTCTGGCTCGTAGCATTCGAGACCTCAGCCGCCGACGAAGTCGGCCCCAAGGAGGCAGTCGCCACAGAGCTCCGTCTGCACACCGATCTTCAGGAACCTGGGAGCTAAGGAACCTGAGAAACCAGAGACTCAAACATCCCTTAATTAAGGAATATACCTTATATTATAATAAGATCCCTCGTCTGATTTAAGGAATATTCGTTAATTAAGGGATATGCCTTAAATTATAATGAGATCCCTAATATATGATTTAAGGAATATTCCTGTAATTGAGGAATATTACAGTCTCTGAGAGTAACTCTACTTGGAGGATCATGGGGCTTAGTAAGTAGGGTTATAAGTATCTTAACTATGGTTATAAGTAGATATAACTATAGTTACCTTACTTATAACCCTACTTACTAAGTCCCATGACCCTTCCTCTAAGTAGCCCCAACTTGCTTCGCTTTCTGAGGTCGCGCGCTTTTTTGCTTCGCGAAGGAGGTCGCTTTCTCTCCGGAAAACTTGTTGGGGGCTTGGCGATGTCGGGCTCGAGGTTTAGACCCTGAACCCTAAACCCGAAACCCCTCGAGGTTTAGGGTGAGGATGTAGATTGGGGCAACCTGAAGCTCCACGACCCAAGCATGTGGGTAGTTCTCTAGATAACGTTCCCTTCTAGGGTCCTTTCTTTATAGGGGTGCCGTACTATCTTGGGGACCTAAACCTCCCAACCATCTTTTAGGGTTCAGTGTGTTGGTTCACAGCATACACCCCCTAAACCCTAAACCCCTAAACCTGAAACCCACCCTATGTCCTCATCCCGACTCACTGGTCCGTCGCTTCTTCAGACTGCCTTGGCTGCCGAGAGTGATGCAAGGCTTCAGGTTTAGAGTTTGATGAGGGTTCCATATTGAGGTCAAGCATTCTAAGGCCAGGACTTCCGTACTATATTGAGAGCCGTATACGGAGCCAGGAGCGAGAGCAAAGGGAAACAGAAAGACGCCTGCGATGCCGACAACATTTACGTGCTTAGGGTTACTTAGAGGTTCATGGGACTTAATAAGTACGGTTATAAGTAAGGTAACTATAGATATATCTACTTATAACCCTAATTACGGTACGTATAACCCTACTTACTAAGTCGCATGATCCTCTAAGTAGGGTCCAGGGTTGACAGTCTCGGGTTTAAGGTTTAAGGTTGAGGGCTTTGGGCACTTAAACTGAACTTTTTTGCCACAGCTTCCGCAAGAAACCATGCAAGCGGCGCTGCACCACAAGACTGAATCTCAAACCCCTCCCAACAGATCCTCTAAGTAAGCTCCGAAGCCTGAGAAACCCACAGCCCCAACAAAACATGCCAAGTCCCAATACCTAAGAAAAACTAGGAAGCCTAAACCCTAAGAAGACCCTTCAAGAACAAGACGAAAATCCTACGACACCTAGGGTTTAGGGTTTAGGGTTTAGGGTCTAGGGTTTAGGGTTTAGGGTTTTAAGAGGCAAAGAGCTCGGACTGGTGGACCACTCAGGGTGGATTTCCATCTCGGGATCCTGCGACAGGGGGTATGGAAGGAAAGGTGACAGGGGGTCGGAAACATGGGAGTTTCCGAAAATAGGGGACCCCAATACGGTACCCTAAATAGTAGGCTTCCTATCATAAGGACCCCAAAATGAGGTACCCCTATTTTCGGAACCTCCCATATAGGAGTATGGTAGGAGTGGGGGCAATGGGCAGATGGGGGCAGATGGGGGTAGGGGCAGCTGCAGCGGCAGCTGTAGCCGCCGTCAGTAGCGCATAAAGGATAAGAGAGACCAATGATGTTCATGTTCACAACAACAAACCCTCAGCCCTAAACCCTAAACCCCAAACCCGAAACCCATTGAAGGCAAACCGAAATCAGACTCGTGATGCGAGCGTGACTCATTGAGACTCCGGGCGAAGGCGGTAGCACTTCACAGAGTCTTCGACAGAAACAGGTGCAGACGGCGAATCCTAAGCTCTAGATCTAAGCCTAAACCCTAAGGGTTTAGGGTTTAGGGTTCTAAGCCCATCCGCCCCAAAGCTGTAAACCTGACCTGACGGCCTAACCCCGCAATCTAAGCCCCCAGCTCCACGCGTTTCCGGACAGTCCTTCCGCTTGAGTCCGTCCAATCGGGAGAGCAAGTAGGCGACTTCAACGTCCTGGACATAGTATGGGTAATTCTTTTAGGCACCTATACTATATACAGTACCTGGACCCCAAAAGTATGTAGGTTCCTGGACGGCGTTACGACTTCTGCGGTTTGAGTCGGGCACTTTTTCTGTGTGGCTCCCGAGTTGCGCGCTCTGGGTGGGCACTGAGAATGCAAAAACATGGCATAGCAACAGGTCGATGCTTAAAACAGCAGCCCCCTACTGAGAGAGAGAGAGAGAGAGTTTCGCTTGCAAAAAAGACGGTGCTGGCATCTCACAAACAAGACTAGGGTGCTAGGGCTAGTTTGGAAAGTCAGTGTGGTTTTGCGTTTAGGGTCGAAGGTTGCGGGTACTTGGGGCTTTGGGCTTCGGGCTTGTGCCCTTAGACGCTTCGCCCTGGGCCCTGAACTCCCTCTTGCGTGCGGCTGCTTCGAATCTCCAAGAACATGGGAGTTTCCGAAAATTAGGGTTCCTTATAATAAGGATCGTACTATTTAGGGTACTGTATTGGGGTCCCCTGTTTTCGGAAACCCCCATATCTGGCTTTAGCTTATAGTAGAAGCCAGAAAGTTGGAACATCACTCTCCTCATGCCCCTAAAGGTAAAGCAAAAGGGATCCTAGCACTAATCCTCCTGAGGCCATGTTCCAACTTTCTGGCTTCTACTATAATTAAGGTTTAAGGGTTCGGGCTTTAGGGATCAATAAAGTCTATGGTCTCAAGTTTCGCATTCAGGGCTTGCCGAGAAGCAACTAACACCCAAAACCCGCAAAGCCCTAAACTGCGTGCCTTTGTCAGAGGCATGATGTATTCCTGGAAAAGTGTTCCGATGTACTCCGCATTCACCTGGGTCGTGGTCACTCAGCACTTCGAGGATCGGGCGACGTAGTAAGTAGGGTCAGAAGTAAGGAAACTAAAGCAAGCTCGGCCCTCGAGCCAAGCTCCACAATGCACTTTGGGTCCGGGCATTTCAAGTGCAGGTTAGAGCAGCAGCAACCCACAAACAGGAGGCCTTGTAGGTGGCGGGCTCAGCATCGCTGCTGCCCTGCGCCCCCGCGATATTTTGCGAGAAGGTCTTCGCCTTGGGGCATGGAATGCCGGCCATGCACATGAGGTGTGTACGCGCGGTGTAGAAGGGTGGAGGACAGGTTGTATGAGTGCCTCGAGCTTAAACTCAGCTTTGTGGCGCCCGCCGCTGCTACGTCATCTGCTAACACCGCGTCATGTAGCAGGATTTAGAGATTCGGATTCATGGCATGCCTTCCTTTGACCCTTTGGCAGCAAACCCTAAACTCTGGTTTAGGGTTTAGGGTGCAGCTCAAACTTTCGCTAAAGATGCAGGATGTACTTGCAGGTCTCATGCATGCGAGGGTGGTTTGCGATGGTTCTCCTGCTCACCGTGAACCCGCAACCCTAAATCCTCAAACTCAAATCCTCAACCCTACGCTCTGAACTCTTAACCCTACAGTAGAAGCTAGAAAGTTCGAGCATAGTTATCCTCATGCCGTTAAGGTAAAGTACAGGGAATCCCAGCGCGAATCATCCTAAATTCATGTTCCAACTTTCTGGGGCTCACTATAACCCCTCGATCCTATTCCCTAAACCTTACAGCCTGAAAGACTCAGAAGTCGAACCATAAGGTCAGGGACTTACCGTGAAACCCCACACGTAAGGAAACCTAAGGAATAACAGCTCCTAAAGAATCGAAAACTTATGGCATTCCTTATTCCTTACTACTTCACCCTGAAACTTTAAAGCCCTAACCGAACCTTCATGACACTCCGTACTAGTTAAACCCTAAATCCTAAGCCCCTACACGCCTAAACCCTGAACCCTAAACTTAAACCCCAAACCCCTGAACCCTAAACCCTAGAGGCCCTAAACCCTAAACCCTTAACCCTAAACCCTAGAGGTCCTAAACCCTAAACCCCTAAACCCCAAACCCCTAAACCCTAAACCCTAGAGGCCCTAAACCCCTAAACCCTAAACCCCTAAACCCGCCACTGACGCGGAACCTTGAGGATGACTCTCTTCACGTTGCGGGCCTCCACCTCCGGGTTTCTGTGGGCTTTTGGGGGTTTAGGGTGAACCCTGAAACCCTAAACCCCTGAACCCTTTTTTTACAAGCCTATAGACCCCTAAACCTTCAGCCCGAAACCCTGAGTTTGGGGGGTTTTGGGGTTTTAGGAGAGCTTACAGCTTCTCTGCTCTTCTTTTTTACGGAGTCTTGTGCTTCTTTTTGAGCTTGGGTCTTTGGGTTTCGTTGTCTTCGAGCTCTGTCTCTTCTCTTGTCTTTGTGTCTTGTCTTTGGCGCTCTGCTTGTCTCTCTGTTTCGAGCGGCCTGCGTATAGGGCTTAGGGCTCAGGGTAAGGTTTAGGGCTTCGGGTTGGTGGTTTGTGACTTGGGAGAAGAGGGTCTGAAGGGCAGGTGCTTGTTGTTACATAGGGTCTCCGGCTTTTTGGTAGAGGTTTATACTACTTGCGTACTGTTCCAGCACTAGCCTCAACCCTAAACCCTATACCCAAAGGGTCGTGTAAGCTTCTGCACTCTTTCTAAAGCCCTGCTAAACCCCCCTATATTGTAACCCTAAACCCTAAACCCTGCTAAACCCTAATAACAACGTAATGACGCTTGGGAAAACCTAATAAACCTCAGAGAAGAAGCCCCCGACGATCCAACCTCAGGTTTCGTGATGAAGGCCGTCAGCCCTTCGGCGTCCTGCACATGAGGCAGCCAAAACCCGATTCCCAAACTCTGATCTAACGTTCTTAGGGTTTAGGGCCCTTAGGGTTTAGGTGGCTTGGGGTTTAGAGGCTTAGCGTCTAGGGTTTTTAGGGCTCGGGGTTGTGGGTTTAGGGCTCTTAGGATTTGATGTAGGAGCCTGCTTGAAAGCCCTGGTCCTACAACCCCAACTCCCCAGACCTTCCAAAACCCCTTAACTAAGGAATA